AATGGCTCTAGCAGGCAGGCAGCAGGGCAGACAAAAGGACCTGGGCAGAAACAGCAGAGCAGGGTTCAGCTCCTCATCTTCCACTTCATTGGTGATTTTAATGGTATAGGCTGGATCTCCAGGTGGTCACTGGGCAAAACTGAAGGTCAGGTATACAGGCCCCAAAGTCTTTCAGACCAGTTTCACACAAGAGCTGCACCATGGTCCCGCCTCCCTTTGCCCCGCTTCTATTGGTCAATTTCCCACTTGAAGCCGGGTGGCGGCATTTTAACCCGTAGCGTTGCCCGATTTTCCCTGTGGTTTCGTGATCCTCAAAAAACAGGATCACAAAACCGCGGGGGAAATTGGGCGAAGCCACGGGTCAAAATGCGGCCGTGCTGCTTCGAGTGGGAAATTGACCAATAGAAGCGGAGCAAAGGGAGGCACGACCGCGGCGCAGCTCTTGTGTGAAATCGGTCCCAGTCTCATCAGCAGTACTGCACCACTTACAAATATATGGTGCTTTACCCACTTCATGGGGAAAGTAGTCTGAAAGCTTTTTGGACTGGTTGGTCTGAGAGCATCTCTCTTCCCTTACCCCATCTCAAATGGGATTTCCGTTCTTTGAAAAGCTGCTTCACTAGCAGCTTTTGGCCACTTCATTATTTTACATTCTGAGATTGGAGAAGCCAGCCACAAAAACAGTACAGGGCTATCTGAACATACAGCATGATCTGAAGAAGTGTGCATGCACACTAAAGCTTATACCTTAAATAAAAAAATTTGGTCTTCAAGGTGCCACTGGACAGTACAGGGGAAAGTCAGTCTGAACATTGAGCTGTGACTGAAAGTACTAATGGGCTGCACAGTGCACCTGGCTAGACCTTGAAAAGAATGTGCCCACTGGGAACAAGCCGGGAGAGTCAGATTCCAGCTTAGCTGTGAAACCTACTGGAGGGACCTAAGCCTAACATTTCTCACAAGACTCAACAGGACTGAAAGTCACTTTGTATGCAGGAAAAATGTTACAGGAATTATGAATAATAATAGAATTTTTAAAACGCATAGTTGTCTGCAGCCGTGTTTAGCAGCAATCTCACCAAGAAGAAGAGACTGGATTTATACCCCGCCCTTCACTATCCAAAGGTGTCTCAGAGCGGCTTACAAACTCCTTTCCCTTCCCCTCCCCACAACAGACACCCTGTGAGGTGGGTGGGGCTGAGAGAGCTCTGACAGAAACGGCTCTTTTTCAAGGACAGCTGTGCCAGAACTATGGCTTGCCCAAGGTCATCCAGCAGGTGCAAGTGGAGGAGTGGGGAATCAAACCCGGTTCTCCCAGATTAGAGTCCGCGCACATAACCACTACACCAAACTGACTCTCAACAACAAACTGGCTCTCACCAACAGGTGTACTTGCTTCTCCAGATACCCAGAATGCTGGTGAAAGAAAAATTATTCTTTAGCATATCTAATGCCATTTTATAATGCTGCTTGCTCTGCTTAAGAATGAACTCTTGTGCCCTGGGAGCCAGCAGAATAGCTGGAAGCTTCAGAAGCAGTTTTAGCCAGCTGAGCACAGTTTTTATCAGAAGATGAAGATCCCAAGAATGTGGGAATATAGGCATGTGCAGTACTCTACTAGGTACACTAGCAAACTTCTGCAAATGATTAGCCAATCATTTGAGTATTGAGTTGCCAGTTCCTGCTACAAAAAAACCCTCTGGGTTTTGACAACAAAGTAAACAGAATAAGAAGCAAAAGGTGGGTGTGGCTGGATGACCACACTTCTGGTAACATGAGGGTGCGGCCTAATATGCTAATATGCTGTGCTGTCAAGGGTGTGGCCTAATATGCTAATGAGTTTTGCTGTTGGGTGTGGCCTATTATGCTAATGAGTTCCTGCTGGGCTTTTTCTCCAAAAAAAGCCCTGCATGTATTGATGGCTAGGTGTCATTTTCCACCCCCAGCAGTTAAACAGTGGCTTCCCAAGGACATTTACATGGTACCAGGGGTAGGGAGTAAGGCTAAAGCCCCTTTCCTTTATATGCTGTGGTCCCAATTCAAATTGCACCCCCTCCACTTGTGGCTGGAAACTGAGTTCCCAGCACAGAACCCCAAGTCCTTATGACAGATTTGTAACATGTGGTTGGCTCCATCAGGCATAAGAATAGTCAAGGAATTGCTCTGACTCTTGAGACCTTATGAAACAGCAAGATAAAATCCAAATAAACAAATGCACAACAGTGTGGGCTGTTCTGATTGTGGTATATGACAGTTATTCCTGTTTTTACAGATCATCTTCTAAAATAATCCAGCAACAAGATCTGCTTTCTAAGTAACCTGCCTCTGCAGGCTCTCCTTGATGTTTTCCACGATGTTTTATTTTAGATCTGTACATATTGCTACATATGTGAAATTCGAGCAATGTGGGAAAGGGCACGTTCTATTTAAGAACAAGCAAAGCAGCAGAGTGGATGCACAAAGGAAAAGTCTAAAGGACTGCTTCCACACAAGGGGGATATTCTACAGTAGTCCGGTTGCTGATGCGATTCTGTGTGAAATCGCCTTTGTAATGGAGATTCCAGAGTTCAGAGTAATCTATGTTCTCTCAGCCATGGTTTGACTTTTACATCTGATGTGCATTGAAGCCCACGCTCCCCCTCCGTACACACACACACACACACTGTGTTTTCTGGTGACTCTCAGGATTCTCTGCCCACCCTATTTTTATTTTTTTTTAAGGAACATGGGTAATACCGTATAGGAATATAAAGCAATATGTTTTTAAAAACTTACAAAATAGCAGAAGGCAGATTTGTCGAACTTGGCTGTTAGTATATAGTTTCCTGGAATCAGGAATTGTCTAAGAATTTTTTTAAGCTTGCTTTATCTTGTATGTAAATAAGACTAAAGATATCAAAAAGTTGCTAATTGGCTTTTCTGTCTGTCTTGGTCTGCTTCCACATCAAGGATTTCCCATGTTTTGGCCACCAGACTGGTGCGTGGTTTTTTTTTTTCATGTTTCCACATGATGTCATCCTCCAGTTGTGCAGACTTTTAACCTTTTTTAAAGGTTGTAAAGGTATTACATTATTCCTGTCCAGTGTTATTCATGCTTGTGGGTTTTAAAAAACAAACAGAAGGAAATCACCCACAACTCATCCTGCCTTCTTTGCCACCACCTTCCTCTGCACAGAGACCCTGGACTTCCTTGGGGGTCTCCCATCCACGTACTGACCAGAGTGCCAACCCTGCTGAGCTTCCAAGTTCTGACAAGACTGAGCTAGTCAGTGCTGTTCAGGCTGCTTGTCTTATTTACAACATGTTCTATTCATTTTTTTTGTTATTTTATACCATGCCATTCTCCCCAGTGAGGACCCTAAAGTGGCTTACAACAATCTCCACTCCTCCACTTTATCCTCACAACAACCCTGTGAGGTAGGTTAGGCTGAATGTGTGTGACTGGCCCAAGGTTACCCAGCAAGTTTCCATGGCAGATCCTAGCCTGTCTTTTATGTTCATTTATGCAGAGCACCTGCTAATGGAAGTTCCTACTGAGGGTACTTAAATCCGGTGACTGGAGCTGTAAATAAGCAAGACAGATCTGGAGCTGGCAACCCAAAGAGAGAACTGATCTCTGTAGCTGGGAGCTCTGTTGTGATTCCAGGAGATCTCCATGCCCCACCTGGAGGCTGGCAACCCTAGAAGGAGGGAAAGAAGCAAGAAAAGGGGAGAGGCTATGGGGTCGTTTAGGAAATGGAAAGAGGAAATAGTGAGGATGGGGAAATGAGATGCCTCCTGCAAGTCCTTGCAGGTTCCCAAGTATATTTCATTTTCAGTCATTTTCAGACTCTTCCTTCAATGATGTTACCCTGCTGCAAAAACCCAAAGCAGTCTCAGACGTTGCTTCCTACTTAATAGTGAAACCCAAGGGATAAACACACATCAGTGACAGACCTGTGTTAGAACTGTGTTTGTGATACATTCCTATAAGGAAGGGGGGCACTCTAAAGCCAGCATGGCCTAAAATGCCTCCTCTCAGCTGGTTTTTCCAAAAGGAGCTCTGAGACTGTAAGGAAACCTCAGCCATGAGAAAAACAGCTGGGAAGATGCAGTTGGGGAGGAAGCTCAGGTAGGGGAAGTATTCGGCATCAGCCCCCCATCCCATTCCCCACTTAAGAGGAATTTGACAAGGACTCATATAACACATATGTTATGACATCCTAATGCCTAGTTTACTTCCTAATCTGGCATAACTCCAGAGTATCTACATGTTGGAATCCAATCTCAGGCTGCTGTTGGTTAACTATTACATACCTTGAAAAGGTTGAAAGTGCAAGGACACTATATGGGGAAGGTGTTAGGATGGAAGAAAAAGGCCTTTAAAGAAGCCCAGGGCTGTATTCAAAAGAATGGCATGATACACGTTTAACTCCTCACAGCCAAAGATCCAAACGATACAGAGTTTGAAACGTTTCTAGCTTCCTCATCAGCTGCAAATGCTTTCACAGACACTCCCAAACTACAAGCACCTTCCAAAGAATACCCTCCATGTCCAGAATATATTTATTTTCATCAAATGTCTTGGCAAAAGTTTTAATTTACTTCAGAGAATTCATAATTAGTGAGATCAGCAGGTATAATTTTTGACACAAGTGATTGATCTGAGAAGGATTTGTGCTCATCTTCAAGCTGTATACTGCATATTGCATGACAAAATCCTAAGAAATCATATTTTGCACTATCAAAAAATTGCATACATTTTACATTATCCAAAAATGGGTAATGACTTCACAATTTATTAACAGTGAACTAATATTCTCAAATACTGAATTCAAAAACTAGACATTTAGTAAGTAACTCAGTAATATGCTGAGGTTTTCAATGGAAATAAATTGGAATTGTTAATATTTGTAGAAAGAAATTAATTACAAATTAATTCATTTTTCACCTCCAATGCAGTTCAGCCTACTGCATTAGAATTTAATTCTCTCATGTTTACATTTTTCTCTCATTCAAAGGCATCATTTCTGTACACCTCAAGAAGGACAGCATGGGCAATCTAAGCCTCATAGCCAGCCCACAAACGGACAACCGCAGTTCACTGGATAATGCTTCTAAGGAGTCTTCAATGACAATATGGCAGAAGCTCAGCCAGGTGAACAGCAGCAGCAGTGGCCATACATTTGTCAAATGGAATCACAGTCCCCTCACAAACACCATCAAAGACAGGTAAGTATGTTCCACAAATAACAACAGCCAACTATGGAAGCCTGGTGCTTTTCAAGCAGTGGCAAACACATCTGGATTGAACTCAGATTGCTCTCATTTTCAATGGGTTGCCCCAGGAGCAACAATTCCAGATGGAAACAGAGGTTGCATATGGCCTAATTGCATTGCAGCTGAGGCAAAAGCACTAAGATCAATCTGAAGCTCATTCTGTTTGCACACTACGGGGGAATACTATTTTCAGTAGTAAATTCCTTGTTTAAATCATATAAAGGAGAGGAGAAGCCATTGCACTTGCTTCAGGAGCCTTTTCTCTTCCTCCATCACCATAATTAAAAATCCACTTTGCAAATAACTCCATAAAAGCTACTTGGTCTCATTTTTTTAAACTAATCTGCTTGCCCACCTATACCCATATAGATTCAGGTAGGTGGCCATGTTGGCCTGAAATAGCAGAATAAAGTCTGAGTCCAGTGGCATTTTTAAGACCAACAAAGTTTTATTCTGGGTATAAGCTTTCCTATGCATGCACACTTCTTCAGATACAGTGAAACAGAAGTCACCAACCATTAAATATAGGTAGAGGGTGAGGAGCTTGTTGCTAGGAGGGGCCAATTAGAGTCAGGATGCATAAGTAACTGAGCAGTAAATATAGCTAAGACTGGATAAAGGCAATTGGCAAGACCTGTGAATAGCAGCAAATTAGCATACGGCGTAATAAAAGAGTTTACGAACAGATGCGAGAAGTGAATGTGTAGTGAGATAAAAAACCAATATCTCTGTTAAGCTCCGGGGGTGCCATTGACATGAGTGTTGTAATAACTTGTAACTCAGCAATCTCCCATTCTAGTCTGTTTCTGAAATTCCTTTGCAATAAAATAGCTATTTTGAGATCACCCATTTAGTGTCCTGGAAGGCTAAAGTGTTCTCCTACAGGTTTCTCAGTTTTGTGATTCCTGATGACAGATTTGTGTCCATTTATACTTTGGTGTAGGGTTTGATCTGTTCGCCCTATGTAGAGAACTGAAGGGCATTGTTGGCATTTAGTGGCATATACAATGTTAGAAGAAGAGCAAGTGAATGAGCCTGAGAGGGTGTAGTTGATGTTGTTAGATCCAGTGGCTGTGTTGTCTGGGTGTATGTGGCAGCACAGTTGGCATCTGGGTTTATTGCAAGCTCTGGTCCCAGTGTCCATGTTCAAATTATATGTTGTATTATTGTGGGTGAGGAGTTGTTTGAGACAGGGGGACTGTGTGGGCAAGAAAAGGTTTGCTCCCCAGTACTTGTGAAAAAGAACTGTCACCATTATCCAGCAGAGATTGTAAGTCACGGATGATGCATTGAACTATTTTGAGTTGAGAGCTGTATGTAACCGCTAGTGGTGTTCTGTTATTGTCTCTTTTTGGGTGTGTCTTGCAACAGGTTTTTTCTAGGTACCATTCTGGCTTTGTTAATCTGTTTCTTGACTTCATCAGGTGGACATTTTAGTTCCAAAAAGGTTTGTTGAAGGTCCCTCAGGTGAGAATCTCTGTAGGATTAGAACAGATGCAACTGTAGCGTAGAGCCTGGCTGTATACCAAACAATCCTATTAGGTCGAATCTGTATTTGCATTTTTAAATTAGTTTCATGCTGCTGTGATGCCGTCTTTCTCTATGCTTATTTGAATGTTGTTTGGAGAAGATTCTTTTAAAGCAGTGCAGAGGTTCAATGACAGTGGAGGACAATAAACATATGTGGACGCATATGTGGACACGCAAACGTATGCTAGTACTCTTGTGGTGTGAAAATGACACCAAATGTAGACAGCTTTTTTGAAGACGGAGTCAGAAGGCTGGGACACCAGTGGGAAAGACAAATGCAGATTCAGCCATATATGTAATGGTTGGTGACTTCTGTTTCAGTGTATCTGAAGAAGTGTGCATGCACCTTTAAGTTAGTCTTAAAGGTGCCACTGGACACGAGTAATGTGTAGCATATTAATGGCCTGAAAATTTAAAGGGGAAGGGGGAATCAGGATTTGGATTTTGCAGCAGTTATTCTTTGGTATTTACTGAGTGCTTACTAGCTGTGCTGCCCAGTCCTATCCATGGCTATTCCAGAAAGTCTCTCTGATTGCATTGGGATTATGGCTCTCATTACACTAGGCACTGGAAGATTTGTGACTAGATCTTTTCAGCATTGTTTCCATGTAAACAGTAGCTAAATGGGGCCCCAATTCCATTCAGGCCCATTGGGGAGCATTATTACACACACACACACACACACCCCATTTTCCCAACCTGAAACAGTACCACAGAACTGCTATTTGGCACTTGGGAAAAACATACAAGCAATATACCAGTATTTGTATGTTTTCCCCAAAACAGTAAACAGCAGTTTCATGGGACGGTATGCATTGAATTACAGCCTAAAAATGCAAACCTGAACATACTGAAAAGAGCTCCACTGAACCAAAGGGACTTACTTCTAAGAAAGTGTGTTTCAGATCAGGATGCTAGAGAAAAACACCACTCCAGTGCCTGAACTCTGGAAAAAGCAAGGGTTGAGTCATCCTTAATAATCCCTTATATAAGGATTATTGTATATTCAAAAGGACTGGGTGCACGTGAAGACTAGGCCAGATAGCCCTGTCTCAGTCCAGCAAAAGCTGCAAAACAGCAACCATTGTAAAAATGACAAAGAATTTCACCAGGAGACATAGTAGTTGCATGCAAGACACTTGCAGTGTTGTTTATTCCCTAGGCAGCTGGGCTCTATCCTTTCCTGTCTAAAGCAAGTGGCAACTATTAAAGCGTATTGGATCTGCACATATTTTTATGACATACAAACTGCCATCCAAAGAATATTTACTTCGAAGTCCTTTCGGCTTCACTGGGAATTACTTTTGTATGCACATTTAGGCTGAATATGCTAATCTTTTTATTTCTAGATAAACACACTTCTTTTTTGCATTGTGTCTAGCTGCCAAGGAAAAGCACTATTACAGACAGACCTGCAGTACCACAGAGATGTGTCTTCGCTTATGGAGGATGCCAGTGGGAATCAGGCACAAAAGAACAGCTATAACCCCTGGGGACTGCACTGCCACAAGCAGCATCTCAGCCGCCTGTCTTCCAAGTGTAATGAGAACAAACTTCATCGTATCCTTTCCCTTGGCTGTTCTTGTTACATTTGACTGCTTGCTTATAATCCCAAGGCAGCAATGCAGAATTATGAAGCAAAAAGGCACTGTATAAATAACGCAGATAAAAAAGTGCTGAAATAATATACTAAAATAGTGAAGGATGTTTATATATAACAAAGTGACACAATACTAGCAAGGAGTAACAAGAAACGACATATATCAGTAATGGCAAGATTACATAAATATAATCAATCTTCGTTTCGATAGCTCTTCCTCAATAACTTCATTACACTTCATAAAGCCTTCAAAACAATATATATACGCAAAATGTCCAATCCTTGCATCAATAAAGTCAAAACCGGGCAACCGATCGGCAATAGAACTTATTCTTGTATTGTCGGCAAGCCCCAAGGTGTGGTCAGCATCTGGAGGCTTTATATACTAAAGCTGGAAACGAAGATTGAAATCCGGAGTCTTCGTCCTTGTTTCTTCTGTTCCAGTTTCCTTTGTACACGCTGTATTAATTTTTGTATTATATTTGTGTAATCTTGCCATTACTGATATATGTAGTTTCTCATTGCTCCTTGCTAGTATTGTGTCACTTTGTTATATATAAACATCCTTCACTATTTTAGTATATTATTTGAGCGCTTTTTATCTGCGTTATTTATACAGTGCATTTTTGCTTCATGATTATATTGTACTGAGCAATGCAGAATTCCCAGTGTTCCCTTAACTTTGAATAATAATTGAAAATTACAGCCCTCATATATCATGGATCATTTGTACTTATTATAGGAGAAAATGTAAGCACGGAGAGCACAATTGAACAAAACTGGTCTTACCAGTTTGTGTGTTAAGATGCAGGTATTAAGTGGGAAGAGGAGGTGATTTAAACAGAAGGGGCAGGAAGGAAGGAAGAGCTGAACCCTTTTCTTCCTTGAACGTTCCCCTCTACAAGCATCTCCCCAGTCCCCACCAGTGGCTTTTTTCTCAGTGGGGCAAACTTCCAGTTGTGAAGCCTGGCCAAGAGAAAAGCAGCAAGGAACGCTTTGTGTGTGGTGGCGGGGTGTATGATTCAGCAACCCACATCTGCCCCTTTTTAATATAATATTGCCTTGCCATCCCTGTCTGATGGTGACCTGTTTCCAGTTCTTCACACGAACAGGTGAAACTGCCTTATACTGATTCGGGCCATGGTTCTATCAAGGGCAGTATTTTCTACTCAGACTGGCAGTGCCTCTCCAATGTCTCAGGTAGAGAGGGCTTTCACATCACCTGCTGCCTGATCCTTTTAGCTGGAGCTGCCAGGGACTGAACCCAGGACCTTCTGCATACTAAACAGGTGCTCTACCACTGAGCCACAGCTTTCCCCAAGTCCTAAAGTATGGACTGCCCCGTTTATGTATTTATTTATTTTGATTTATATCCCACCTTGCCTGCACAGGCAGGCAAGTTAAGACTCTAAGCATTCAGACATTGTTCTAGAATTTAATCAAATCAGTTTAGCGGCCGTGGTTTAGGGTGACTTCTTAGTCTTTACTAATCCTATCTATAATTGCAACGACAAATGTCAAAAGGTGCTATTTTATAAAAATCTAAGGAAAACAAAATTTGTATCTCACCAATGTTAGGCTTCTCTGTTAAAATTTATGTGGAGGAACTTGTCTTTCAGAATTCACAAACCTTGGTTTTTCTCCTCATAAGTGATAATGTATAATAGTTCAGCCCACATACCCAAATTGTGCAGCCTTTCCTTTCAGCTCCAACAGTCAAAGAAATCTACTGACAGACCCAGCTTGTGATACACATTTCAGAGTCTCACTGCAATTTATGCATTAGTGGTTTCTATAGCAGGAAAGGACCATTTGGCAGGGTTTTAAAGGACGGACAGGTAGTTGTGAGGAGTAGTAGTACAAACTTCACCAGGATAAATGGGCTGAGATGGAAACGTTCTATGACAGCTGTAAGTCCTACCCACAGGAAAAACTGATGCCCTTAACTTGTGAATCCAGAATTTCTGTTGCTTGAAAATGTGGTATCCAAGTATAAATATCCATGTATTCTGGACTTGAAGATGGGAACCAGGCAGCATGCTGATGATGCATCAGAGGAGAAGAAAGCACGACAAATAAAGAAGTGTGAACAGAGCACATCAGCATCCCTTGGAGTCCGTATTTGTGGCATGCAGGTAAGAAGAATCTTTTCCAGGCTGGCTCCCCTCATTGTCAATTGGGAGCACGTTCTTGGATGACATAAAGATAGCAAACTTGGAGTGAAACTATAGTGCAGACCAACTGAGAGTCTAGCCTAGTAAAAATAGACAACATTATTGATTTTACATCCAAGCTGCTCTGCTTTAGCCTTGGTCTGTACTTTAAAAAAGAGATCATAAACTTGAAATGTTTGTTCATTCATGGCAGTTGGCTAATGTAAAAAGCTAAAATAAACCTCTTTGGTCCTAAATATTGCAGCTTTAAAAATCCTCTCTCTTTTGTGCCAAAAACAGAGTACAATCCTTATTCCCTTGCAAATTGATACCATACTGCAGCTGTGTGTTGCAGCAAAAGCTGAAGAATCCTGTGGCACCTGAAAGACTAAGACATTTCAGTGGCATACGTTTTCGTAGGCTGGACCCCAGTTTGCTAGAGTCAGCATGCCCAGTGTTCTCAGGGGATCTGGACCACACCATTTTATATTGCTGAGAAAGATTACAAAATATTTCCATTGCAGTTAAAGGAAATGGTAATTTTATAAGTTCTATTTTTAGCAGTTATGAATGTTAAATCAACCACTTTGATTAACAAGTATAATTGATAGGGATCAAATTTAACCACCAGCTCACTGATTAATCAACTAAACAGTCTTTAATAGGTTGAAAACCATAACATCTCTATAGCACAAAAATGGTAGATAGGTCCCCATCCAGTGTTAGTCTCATAGTCCCATGAAGCTCAGTAACCTTGGGTGTGGAGCTGTTGTGAGGATAAAGGATATGTCATGTATACTGCCTGAACGTCTTTGAAAGGTAACAAAAAAGGTAACAAATAAGACAATGTGCTGGTAAGATTACTTTTACAAAAATAGGCTCAGACATTGTACTGCTGAGGTTTTCAGAGCAACCTATATAGTTTATTAGATTACACCCAACAAGACTGATGGCTAATGTATACGATGGTTCTTTTCTGTTCCAGGTTTACCAAGCAGATGCTGTCCAATACCTCTGCAACGACAAATATTATGGACGGAAACTCTCACCAGATGGCTTTAAGCAGGCCCTCTGTCAGTTTCTGCACAATGGTATACTTCTCAGAACAGACCTTGCAGAACCCATTGTGTGTCAACTGAAGACTCTACTATCCATCATCAAAAAACAGAGCTCTTACCGGTTCTACTCCAGCTCACTTCTTATAATTTATGAGGGACTGGAGAAAACGATCGACAACCACACTCAGGGGCTCTGTCAGAACACTAGCAGCACTGTTCCATATGGGAACAGCCACCCCAAAGTTGATGTCCGGATGATAGACTTTGCTCACACAACATACAAAGGCTCAAAGTATAATCAGACAGCCTATGACGGACCAGATCATGGCTATATTTTTGGTCTAGAAAACCTAATAAAAATTATTCAAAACATCTCAGTGGGTGAATGATAATGGCTGAATTGACTGTATGGTAATAAAAGGGACAGCCTGCATGTCAGGCCAACAGTAGGAAGACCGCCTGGCAAACTGTATCACATGCACTGTTTTCAGATGGAAAACCACAGGATGGATAGCTTGTCAGAAAAAGCTCTGGTCATGCTACTCTGTCTGGATTGGATGGGATCCATTGTAATTGTGATCTGTCAGAACATTATTTTCCTTTCTCATTTTCATGTTGTCCTTCATTTGTGAGCTAGAATGTTATGTGAAAGGAATTTGAATGAAGGACTTGTTCATCAAGAAGATTTCCAAGGCCAAAAGAGGCCAACCAGATATTGTGCTCATGAAAAGGGCTTCAAGACATGTCGGCAAGCCCTTTAAAAACTCACACTTAGTTTGATGAGCCAAGGGCTTTTGTTTACACAACCAGATGTCACTACAGCCTTCTACGTCCTCCAATAACTGGCACCTTAAAAACTACAAGCATATTAATTCCTTTTTCCTTTGTATTCTGTACCAGTGTGTGGCACTGTATGCTCCAAGGAATGTGTGTGTGAGCCAAAGGAATGAATGGATATAATAAAAAGAAAAAATGAGCCAGTGCCAGATAGCCCCTCCTGGAGTAAGGCAGGTCTTTGCTAGAAGAGCTAGAGAGGTGGGGATCATACTATGGCACTTTATGTATGAATATGTATGAATGAGGAATCAGACAGGCCTTGATCTTGAAGACATATGATATGTGTTCACATGTGCTGATCAAGGGGCCCAAAAGTTTTGTATTCCGCTTCTATGCACGTATGTTTATGTGAGTGGACTAAATTAAAAAAACATGACAAAATGTTTACAGAATGTATGAACATTTGTAAAAATGGAACAACCAAATGACAAATTCCTTCCTATATCCCATGGAAAATCTGTTAGAATGTTTTTAAATACAGAGATATAAAGTCCAATAGCAGAAAAGGAATGTAAAGCTGTAAATAAATTGTACAGTTCCTGTAACATACTGGAAATCCTTTTGTAAGCGATTTATTTCTTGTGGACTGTGAATAACCACAAATTATGACAGGAAGATTAAAAAATTAGGCCAACTTTATGTTCCACAGACTCTTACCAGCTGCATGCAGGAAATGGCTAGAAGGTATTCACAATGCGTCTTAGCACTAACATGGATCTGACACCACAGAGCCAGAGCAGTTCCACTTGGGCTCTTGAAATCTCCAGCATAAGTGACTTTTCCTCATTTGTATTATTCCTATAATTTCAACAATTATTTTTTAACCTAATATGAGTATATAGCTCCTTGCCTGCCAAGTCACATCAGGAAAATTCATTGCATGTACTGTGGGATAGCCAACTGATTCCTCTGAATTAAGCTTATGGATATTACGGATGTATTTGAATATGCAGATACAGACTGCAATCCTACACACATTTACTTGGAAATAAACCCACTGCACTCAGCGGGACTGACTTGCTTCGGCATAAACAGGGATATGATGGAACTGCAATCCTATGCACACTAACTTTACAGCAAATCCCAGTGAGCTCTGTGAGATCTACTTCTGTGTAAACATTATACAATGGGCTATGCAGCTGAGATCCTAAAGTCAGCAGGTCTGAGAAAGCATGTATTCAATTAACACATATTGGATGTATTAACTGAAATATACTCCAGTGCAAAGTTTCTTCCAAACCTTTTCTTCTGCCAAAGTTTGCACATCTGTGTTCCTGATTTAACTTGGGGCCATGCCATTTCAGCTGTGGAATTCATCCTCTATAACAAGGCCTTGTTCATTCTACAGAAAGAATAAGAAAGAAATTCCAGTTTCCACCTTGCTTTGCATTCACATCTACTAACAAGAGGTGACCACCTCTGTGAGCTCATTAGGCAGCCTTGGGCAAAGCAATGCATCTCTTGACACCTACCTCCACAATGCGGTTATGAAAATACCATAACATGTTTTACAGATCAAGTGCGTATTCCTCGCAAAAGCTGTAGGCTAAGAGCATGAGCCATCAATATCTCCCCAATTCAAACACAAACTTACTCCTACCCTTTGGCAAGCAGAGATTTACAAAGCATTATGAAATCCAATATACATTTTTGAGACGAACATCCTAGTCGCAGAGGAACTGTGTTCTTGTGATGGTGTTACTTATGGATGTAACAACGCAAGACATGCTGATATCTACAGCTTTCTTGTGTGTGTTTTTAAAAATACAGTTTCTGGCCGTTGGGAATATCTAGCAACCGAGGCGCTTAGGAAAAGAACTACAACAAGTTCTCAACATGAAAAGCCAACAAATAATCTATAATAATTTCTATAATAGCCCAAACCGTACAGTTCCATAAAAATACACTTCCCCTTCCTAAGAAAACCTTCCTATAGCAAAACGCGCTGCTCTGCCCTTTCGCCAGCACTACACCCCGCCTCCTATAGGAAAAGTGGCGGAGCTATAAAACACCCTACGCACGCGTTATTTCCATCGGCTGTGACGCAAGTGCGCACCGGCATCAACGACGGATATAATTCCCAAACGCGCGTGCGCAAATGCTTCCAAGTCGAGCGAGTCGAGGAGCTGGAGTTCGGTCTGCGCGGACGTCACCGGCTTTCCTACAGGAAACCGTAGTGATTGGTCCTTTTCTCTATGGTATCTCCGCCCCGTCATGGAGAGGAAAAATTAATAACACTAAATTTGCGGAGCTAAGACCACGTGAGCCTCCTGCTAGTGGTGACGGGGACGCACTGCCCAAGATGGCGGTGACGCGCTACCGGCGCTTCTTGAAGCTCTGTGAGGAGTGGCCCGTGGAGGAAACGAAACGTGGGCGTGACTTGGGCACCTTCTTGCGGCAGCGGGTGGCTCAGGCCTTCCGGGAGGGAGAGAACACGGTTTGGAATATCTAGCAACCAAGGCGCTTAGGCAAAGAACTACAACAAGTTCTCAACATGAAAAGCCAACAAATAATCTATAATAATTTCTATAATAGCCCAAACCGTACAGTTCCATAAAAATACACTTCCCCTTCCTAAGAAAACCTTCCTATAGCAAAACGCGCTGCTCTGCCCTTTCGCCAGCACTACACCCCGCCTCCTATAGGAAAAGTGGCGGAGCCAGAAAACACCCTACGCACGCGTTATTTCCATCGGCTGTGACGCAAGTGCGCACCGGCATCACGACGGATATACTTCCCAAACGCGCGTGCGCAAATGTTTCCAAGTCGAGCGAGTCGAGGAGCTGGAGTTCGGTCTGCGCGGACGTCACCGGCTTTCATACAGTAAACCGTAGTGATTGGTCCTTTTCTCTATGGTATCTCCGCCCCGTCATGGAGAGGAAAAATTAATAACACTAAATTTGCGGAGCTAAGACCACGTGAGCCTCCTGCAAGATGGCGGTGACGCGCTACCGGCGTTTCTTGAAGCTCTGTGAGGAGTGGCCCGTGGAGGAAACGAAACGTGGGCGTGACTTGGGCACCTTCTTGCGGCAGCGGGTGGCTCAGGCCTTCCGGGAGGGAGAGAACACGCAGGTGGGGGTGATCATGGGGCAGGAGGAGGAGAGCTGGGGCCTTTGATGTTTCTTCAGTGGGGCTTGCTCTCAAGTAAGGGCGTAAAGGATTGTGGTTGCAAATGTTTCTCAGTTCATATTCTTGTTCGTCCCCTCAAGATGCAGAATCAGCTTTATAACAGGGAGGGGCGAGAGTCTGACGGGTCCTTTATTTTCTTGCCTGTAAAATGGGGGTCGCCTCCCTCGCAGGCATCTAGCAAAGACAAATGCAGCTAAGGTGGCAAAGCACGTGGACTGGTGCAGCGGGGAAGGTGCTTCAGGCACGCATAATATTCGTGATTTGACCCATAGTAGTTGTCACAGGTCCACTGCTTCTGGATTCTGAAGCAAAAGAGGCAGTTTGGCCCAACTACAACTCCCAGTAGGCTGGCAGATCCTTATTTGAATAGGAAGATGGCACAGTCTCTTCAACTCGTCAGGAGGGAATTTTGAGAAAAGCTGTGTCTCCCTCTTGTGGCTGCATCTAGTGGGGAAAAACATGTCTGTGATGTTAAAGTTGGGCTTCCAAAAGGTTTTTACACAGAATTGCTTCAGTTTTAGAAGTTTTGTCATACAGTCACCCGTGGTGAGGGCCAGTGGGATGCTTAGTTGTAGGGCCTGGTAAGTTGAGTAGCAGGCACTGAGACAAAAAGAATGAGTTATTTTCAGTAATCTCAGGAAGGGCTTTAGCTATTTATGGCCAGCCAGTGCTTCATGTCATTGACATCTCTGGTTTATTCAAAAATTGCCAGGTTTCTTTTGCCTTCCAATGTGGTACTGGTTCAGGCATCCTGCTACCAGTTTTTGTGGATTAGTTTTCTGCTGTTCTCCTGACTTTTAAGAGACAAGTCATGGTTTTCTTCTCTGCAAAGCTGTGGGGGATACATTTTGTGTTACCTTTTGTGTACTATGGCATGTAGCCTGGACCAAGGACAGTTTGCTGGATAGACATGTCTTTGGTTGCTTATCTCATTAAGAGTAGGAGTATTTTCCCCAGTCCTGGGACTGCATATGAGTATCCATTGTCACAATACATCAGCATGTAATGGACTCTTTCTGGGAAAGTATACTATACAGTGGTTAATGGCACAAGATCCAACATCTTTTGATTGTCCTGAGAGTAGCACAGAAAATGGTTGTTACTTACGTCACTGGAAAAGTCTTCTGCATGCATTTCAGAAGGCACTTTTCTATCATGCTGAGAAAAACTAACTTCCCAAAGTTACTATGCAGTTTTAAAACATATAAATTGATACTTAAGCACTGGTATCATTTTGTATGTATAACATAATACAATAAAGAGAAATTTACCACCAAATTGTAGGAGGAATGTACACAGAACATAACTGGAGCTATAACAAGTAAGTGTAATTTCAGTTTTATTCATGTGTGATGAGATGTGATGCAGTATTTTCTTTTCTTTTTTTGAAATACCATTTCTGCTTCCTGTTTAATCACTGTAATACTATAAGGATTTTTCAATACGAATACAAAAATATGTAAAGGCAGTACATCTCTCTTTTTATGGTATGTGGTACATGGGATTATGTAGACTGATCCATGGGGAACTGAGTAATTGACAATCTTCTTTGGAGTAATGTGTTAGACTAGATGACTTCATTTTTGACTTAGGTCAAAATGGGTATGTAGGTCAGAACTGGCATATATATGGTAATTTCTTTGTCTAAAACATCAGTAACAATCGCTGTTGGGTGCACATTTTGTTATCGACATTCCAGGAAGAATCTGTTTTCTTGTAGATTGCTGATCCCGTGACCTGTGATGAAATGTACGAGAGTCTAGCTAGAATCCATACCAACTATTATAAAAACAAGGTAAGCTCTGAACTTGGGGCTGGAAACTCATTGCCCTATGTTAGAATATGATTGTGCTGCTTCTAGTTGCTCTTTTGTAATAGCCGCCTTAAACAGGTTGTACTGACTCTTGCTGAGCAAAAACCGTAGGCAAGACAAAATCAAGACGAAACAGAATGCCTCTGAAGCTTTCTGTTGTGTGTACTGTTTCAGTAATGTGTCTGTCTGTGTATGTGTTAAATCCCATTTGGGTTCCATTGCTACACTTGGAGACTCTTAAGAGAATGTTGTATTACCTAACAGATTTCATTTATTTCAGCATGTAAGAGCAGTAGTGATATGAGAAGGGAGAATAATAATATCAGGAGACGAGGACAGTGCCGTATTTGTAACCTTTTTTTCTGTTTGTATCGCAAGTATCCACGCTTGAAAGATACCAGCTTCACTGGAGTGTCGGTGGAAGAATGCAAGATGGTCCTTGCAACAGGTATTTAGACCACATTGCTCGATCAGTTGCTGTTTTGGATGTAATTACTCTGAAGTAGGATTTTGTCCTCTGCACAGCATCCCCCCCCATCCAATGTGATAGGGGAGAAACACAGAATGCACAATGTAGCTACTTTTGTATTTTCTTTCCACCCTTAAAGTGCAGCTTTGTACACTGGTACTTCTTCTACTGACGCTTTCTTGCCTTGTGCAATTCTCCTACAAATGAAGAGCTGGACTCATGCAACAACTTAGATTTTTTTTAAAAAGGTGCTTATAAATAACCAGCTGGATCAGTTTGTAACTAATAATATATTGGCTTAACACAGGTGACAAGCTAAGATTTTCTAAATGAGTGTTGAGTTCCCACAACTAAGGAACTCGTCATAAATAACATAAGAACATAAGAGAAGCCAGTGTTGGATCAAGCCAGTGGCCCATGCAGTCCAACGCTGTCATACAGAGGCCAAAAATACCAGGGATGTCTGTTGATTCTTGCAGAGAATTCAGGAGAAAGGAGGGCATGTATCCAGAGTTAATGAGCCTCATACAAATTCTGTCACATACAGGTGCTAAACGCTGGGGGTGTGGGCTTCAAATGACCCATGGAGTCACTATTTGCATGTGTTTTCCCCTAAGACAGTAGCAGCTTCAGGAGACTGTGTGAGATTGCAGAAATGGTCCCAGAGTGAGCTAAACATCTGCATTCCTATTGGGGCTGCTATTTAGCAATAAAAATGTGCTGGAAGTCCAGTCATAGACCTTTCATTTAGTTTGATGTGGAGGCTGGAGCATCACAAAGTACAGAAGAATATGCCATCAAGTCACTGATGGCCCATGGTAACCCCAGCCATTGCGCATTCAAGGCAAGAGGGGGACAGAGGTGGTTTGCCATTGCCTCCCCCTGTGTAGCAACTTGCATTCAGTGCATTTCTGTTGGTTTCCTGTCTTTCTGTGTTTGTAACTTGTGCTTGGGACCAAAGTGCTAGGAAGAATAGTCTAAATGCATACCTCCTCTTATAAGGAACATGCATCCTTTGTTGCACAAGAGTTGAAAGTCTGCTGTTAAAATTCAGGTGTGTTATAATCTTTTAGTCTGTCTGTTTTCTGTAGGCATATTCTGATTTTCTTCAGTTACTTTGTCTGCATAATCATTCTATGGAATAAGCTTCTGCCCTCCTTTTAAGTACACATGGAGTGGCAGATAGCTGAATGGGGTAAGCGTTGCTGTTCCACCTGGCTCTGGTTCCTGACTTTGGCTGCAGCATGTGGAAAATGCCAGTTGTTGTGGGCTTAATGTGTGGCTGCTTTAAATAAAGAGAAAGTGGTAACAAATGAAACTGATTGAGATGAAATTTAATGGTTGATTCACATTTTATGTTTTTAAGGTGTACCTGTAAAATATTTTTGGGTACATGAGTGTTAATCACACAGGCACATATGTCAGGGATTGGTTGTGGTTCCCTATTCCATGTATAAATAGTGGCAAATGTATACTTGCCTCCATATATTGGGTGAAATAGCCTTTAGAAGAAGCAGGCAGGAAATATAGAGCTGTTTTTACAATGAACGTTACATTCCTTTGTCTGTCTACCCTTTCTCTGCCTCCTGCCCCGGTCACAGATAGTCTGAAACAGATGGAAGAAGCGAAGAAAGGAAAATGGACCAAATTGCGTGAGAAGTTCTCTGCCAAGATTCCTGAAGAGGATTCCAAGTGATAATTTCAGTGTTTACAAATCACTGTATTTTGCCTGTATTTATAAACCATCTTGAAATAGTGTGTGGTTCACTTATACATGTTGTCAGCTTTCTTAATCAGAGAACCAGTTTTGGAATCTTCGGGACTGTGCTGGAATGTTGGTAAAATGTGATAAAAAGTTATTCTGAAACAGCAATATAACAGTGATTACATTGATTTAGGGAGATTATTGTTATATTTACAGTACACAGACTTGACATGGTTGTCAATATGATTAGGTGTTTGTGCATTCTGCTGATTGCACTGTGGGATGTCACTCTCTTGCAGCTGAGATGATGCTTCAGTTCCTGATAATTTTTTTCTTTTTTTATTAAATTTTAAAAAACAGTTAAAAATAAGAAAGTAGATCCTGATGTTTATGTAGAGCAAACAGGGAGGTGTCAATTTTATGTGCTGCTGACGCTTCTAAGAGGGGCATCCATTTTTCTTGGAGATTGTCAGGAGCGGGTTGATTTTCAGATCGAAGGATACTAGTGGAAACTTTGTCTTGTAGAAAAAAGTCCCAGTTTCAGATACCAATCACTCAGTTGTAACATCTTCTTAGATTTCCAGTGAAATGCAATAACATTCCTAGTAACCGCAAGACATAATTCTATTAGCTCTTTCATAAGCCCATTAGGGGCAGAATGACTCCAATGGTTCAGGATGAACAAGGAGGGTTGCAGTTGGAGGGCGCAACCTGTAATTAGAAATATTTAGGCATTGACTTCTCTCCAGAAGATCTGAACCTTGGGACACTCCCACCAGCAATGAATATAGGTGCCACGGCCCCCACAATTTTTCCAACACCTGTTCAGTTCCTGATAACTGGATTCAAAATTCAAAGAATCTTTCTGCGAAACACATGGGTGTGGGAATGCTGTTAGTTCTTTAAAGGAGAATTCATATTACATAATACTAGATTGGACTAGATGGCCTATGATTCTATGAATATTACTACTTTGAAAAGTCCACAGCGGCCATAGATCATGGGTTTTCAAACTTGTAGTTTTGCATTAAGAAAATTGGCAGTGACAGACAAGTTGCCCATGGTTACAAGCTTTTCCTTGGTGTACAGATGAGGGGTATGCTTAGTTCATGTGGGACATGTGTGGGAGGGCTCAGTAGCAGAGCATCTGTTTTGAATGTAGAAGGTACTAGGTTCAGACCCTAACAGCTCCAGTTAAAAGGATCTGGTAGTGGGTGATGTGAAAAGATCTCTGCATGAGACACTAGAGAGCTGCTGCCAGTCAGTGCAGACAGTACTGACCTTCATGGACCAATGATCTGACTTGGTATAAGGTACCTTTGTATGTTTCACAGTAAAGCCCAATGGGCCTTGTCTGCACTCTGCAAGCTGAAAGTGTACCATAAAACATGCTTCTGCATATGTATAACTGAGACACAGATAAAGGATTTGGTGAAAACTTGCAGCAAAATATTTCTTAATGAGATTGTGAGCAAACTTCTGTACCTGCCCATGTGACTCTAATCCAACCAGGTCTTTCATAAACTTACATACCACAGTCAATCCAGGTTGTGCTTTTATGGTGTATGGGGGGTGTCATTGCCCTCCACTGAATTTTATTATATTTGTTAACTTAAAGAACTTTTGCACAGTATTATTTTAAACATTGTTTGTACAATATACAGTAGTTTGTAAAAGAAAGTAATGGCAAAGCTCGATCCTTAATTAGTAATATTCTTCACTCCCTTTAAATTTTTGTGGTAGTCTGTAGACTTGAGACTCCTGGCTGGAGTAAGAAACTGCGCATTCCTGACCCTCTGTAGTTTCATGAAGCAGAAGGCCACTCTGGAAAAGTGGCCAAAGTTACTTTGAGAGCCAACGTAAAGTATATCTAATAAAACCTTGCTTTGTTTACAAGTTGGTCTGATTGCAGTCCAGTAAGAAAAGTGGGGTTTTCCCATTCGCTTCAACTGGAAATTGGTCCAGTCAATAAGGCTGGTACATAATGGCAATACAAGGAAACTTAATTCATGCCCTAGAGCTTTTACAGTAGCACCCTTAGAATCCTTTTTTGTGAAAACGTGTTTTTCCCACACAGTCACCTCTTCATTACTTGTGTCCTAACTCTACACAATGGTGCTTTAGTACCAATTCTAACTGGGTATTAGAGTTAGTGAGGACATATTAGTACTGTGTCTGAACTATTTCAGTTTTGCAAGCTCTAATTGACTGGAAGTAGGACATATCCTAAATGTATGGTTTGGTACTCTACTGGATTGGAGGGGGAAATGCTCTTTCACAGGGCAAAAATCACACAATCTTCTATGGAGGGCAAAAGTCCTTTTCACTTCCAAATAATGGAATCTGCCTCCCATCGTCATTTGAAGAGTTAAACTAATAGTACAGTTTTCTTGTAGCAGTTTGTTGGGTTCCATAAGATTTTTCAAGTGAAGGGAAATGCCATTGACTCCAGAGGACTTGAGATGATAAACTTGTAGAGGTCCATGTAAGTTTATATGTTCCTTGAGCAATTCTTGAATAAGTTAAAATGTAGCAAAACGCTAATTGCTTAGTAACATTATTCTGCTTGCACCTGGCTAGATAGCCATCAAAATGTAGTGCATGGGGAAAAGGTCACATTCCTGGATTGGAGTTGTTACAGCAGTTCCCAGCTGCTTGGTAAACTACATGTCCATATGGAGCAAAGTCATTAGCTTCTCCTCTCATTGAATATAATGTCTACAATCAACCCTAATAGAGATGAACAGAAGCTAGTGCTGAAGCTCCACTGTATGAATCATTATGGCATGGATCAGCTTTCCTTGATGGTGACAAGATCTGTGCAGGGACGCTAGTACCAAATGTCCTCCTCAGGACACGTGCAGGTAGATCTGTGTTACAGTGTAGAGCTGGCAAGGCTGACTCTGCTGCTTCAGTGGTTCAGAGTATTCTGGACATCCACAAAACCCATCCGCTGCCTTCGCTTCCTTTGCTCTGTCATCTGAAATTAAAAGCAGATTTAGGGGATGGTTCAGTTCTGGCTCCTTTTCCACTTGCCCCATTCAAAGTCTTTATCAAATATACAATTGTTGGGTTCACAAGATGATTTCCTTTACACTGAGCCACCTGCCACAGAACCTGTATGCTGCAGAGGTTTCACATGTGCACTGTGGCTCCATACAGTGTACTAATGGAATGCTCCATCTTTTTGTAAACCCTAGAAAAGTATTGGTACTTCCTGCCACCATTTCTTTCAGAGGAAGAACAGGTTATCTACCATTGAGAGGAATGATAAAGCAAGCTGTCCTTGTCTGCTGTTGTTTTTCAGTTTAAGGGGAACCTCTGATTAACTTCCGCCAGTATGGGTTTTCCACAAAACGAAGTTTGAAAGCCATTGTTAAGACGATGCAAATAGCCTATTGACTGGATCTGGCACTTGTCTTGAGAAGAAGGGAAGGTCAGCTTGAATCTTAAGGACAATGGGAGACCCTTGGGTAGTGAGCTGGAATTCTGGTTGTGAAATTAATTTACTCATTCACAACTCTTCTCTTATGAATGACCAGTCTTGCTCAGAAATGAAAATAGTTAGTTTGGCACATTTATCTTGTGCCTCTCCACATGCTTAAGGCAGTGGATCTGTAGGGAAGTTTCCTACTAATTCTGAGCCTTGACACTAATCATAGCCTGATTATGGCTAGGTCCACAACACACAATGCAACTGAGAAATTACAAAAGTGGCCCATATCACCTGACCCTTTTCTGGAAGTGAGGTCCAAAAACACTCGCTGTATCATAAATGCAATCAGCTGCTTAGTTGTCAGGTAGTTACTCCAGGGTGTGTCATATGGTTGCCCTGCTGTTTATCTAAAAGCAAACTGAATGTGGTCCACAATAGTTACATTTAGGTGAGGGGCTCACAAACGGCTGATTTTGTGACCGAGTGCCTAAAGAGCAACTTTTGTTGGCCCATTGTGTGGCCACTTGTTGGCTGGACAAAAACACAGCAATAGGCATTCGTATTCTTGAAGCTTCTGTTACCTGCTCCTTCAGCTCGTTCAGCTGTGATGTAAGGTGGGATACCAGCTTCATAGTGGAATTCAGTTTATCTTGTAGACAGCGGATCTCATTCTGTTCCCCTTCTCCTTCATTGCTGACTAATGACATGGCTCGCATTCGAGGGAACCAGTCCAGGTTCTTGTTCTGAAATGGTTAATGAGGAAGCAATACTTTAAAGAAGGGAAGGGCTAGCGTATGCAAAATTATCTACCTTATCCAGATGACTGGATATCACATCATCAGTCCAGGTTCTTGTTCTGAAATGGTTAATAAGGAAACAATACTTTAAAGAAGGGAAGGGTTAGCGTATGCAAAATTATCTACCTTATTCAGATGACTGAGGTAGTTATCACATCATGCCTTCCTCTGGTGCATACATGTGTTATAAACTAATCTCAGGTCTTCAGTGTTCCCCTTGTAATTTCTAGATCAAGATGGGTAGCCATGTTAGTCTGTCTGTAGCGGTAGAAAAGACCAAGAGTCCAGTAGCACCTTAAAGACTAACAAAATCTGTGACAGGGTATGAGCTTTTGTGAGTCACTCTCATTTCTTCAGATGAATGGCTACTCTCCTAATGGCTGCCCCCCACATACATACCTACATACACCCATGCCACCTTTCAAGTGTAGACCCTGCTTAAATTTTGGTTTGACAGACAAATATCTAATTTTAAGATATTTGATGTGTAGTTTGAATCATGGATGCAGTACACTGGCAGTTCTTTTGCAC